CTTATTTTGACTGGATGTGTGTTTGCGTGGATACTTACGACCCAACACGTACCTTCGTTATTATAAAATAACTACGTACATAACGTTTCTTCAGAATTCCCAAACTCCATTGCAGCGTATTTCTTGCACTTGAAAACACCGCCATTCTGGCAACAGGCTCTCGGCCGCACCAAATAAATAACTTTGCCAATATTTCGCCCATTGGGCATCATCAATGCCCTGATGATGCCCAATGGGCGAAATATTGGCAAAGTAATTTATTTAGTGCAGCTGAGAGCCTGTTGCCGGAATGGCGGTGTTTTCAACTACGTACATGTACATGGTACTGCATGACCAAGAGTCCATGGACTCTTGGTATGACCTACAGACTACAGTCCATCCCGAAAACATTGACAATCAGGGTTTTGTCTTAAAAAGCATGAAGATTAGGGGAAATCGGAAAACAAAGTACATGTACATAGAAGGGCTAGTTAGGGCATGGCAAATTGTTCTGTGAAGGCTTCGGAACAATTCGACCAGCCGTTCCAGGTTTCTGGCCTTTTCCTGGTTAAGACTTTGTCCAGGAAGCCAATAGCGATTTTCATCAAAAACCCACGATTTTTCTTTGCCTTTTTGGCCTTGTAGTCTGACTGACGGTTTTCAAAAGCCTGGTTCATGCTCCCTTTTTATGCTGACAAGCTGAAACTTTGGGTGCTGGTAGACAGCCTAATAAGGAATGTACTTCGCTTAGTTGGCCAGTGCAGAGCTGTGCACAACATCGATAAATCGCCAATTATTGATCGTCAAAGTTTGCAAATGAGCGATCCATGCGCTGCTCGAAAATGTGAAAATTTGAATTCGTGAGCAGGCGATGTGAATGACGATTCCCACAACGTCCGAAAATTTGAATTTTTTGAATTTCCAGGCAATGACAATTGTCCTTTCCTTTCGCCCACAGTACTGTTTTGTGGTGATCAGCAGCCGATTTCGGGAAGTATGGAGAGCGAGGAGAGTAGCACTGAGGACGAGGATTACGCTAACCTCTCACGCAGCAGTAGCTTTGTGGTTTTATGCCAGCCAACACCACGCGGAAATGAAGAGAACGCAGGTACGTTTGTTTATGTTGTATTTTCTACTTTCAAGTCCGTAAACAAACAGACGAACCCTATACGCCCTCTTATTTCCAACTGTTGCTGCAGCTCGTATATCTTGGGAGCGATGTCTTTGCCATTGCTGCCCTGGCGCTGAGGATCGGCGTTCCATCACCACCATTACCTGGCCGAAAATCGTCAAGGCAGCAGCATTACGACAAGATGCAACATGGGACTTTCTCGTTCAAGAAGAGTGCGCGGACGAAACAGCCAAGCCTCGAGGATTCGTACATGTACAGTGTTACAGTAAATACACGCATAGAAAAGCTCTTGCTCGAGTTTCAGTCCACAGCAGGCAAAGCTCACCCCGGTCATCTGTGTCCTCTGAAAATGCACCTCACAGCCAACGGCCGTGCACGCGCAGCACACACTCTGGGTCTGCGAAGGAGCTGTGTTTGTTCTGCCAACAGCAGAGCAAGCGCAAGCGTGGCAAGCCATCAGAGAAGCTGTCAGTATGCGAAAGCTTGGAGGCTGGAAAGAGAATTCTGGAGGCAGCAACAGAGAAAGACGATACCCGCATTCTTCTGGAGGTCCAGAGTTACCCTGACTGTGTTGCCGCAGACATTCTGTATCATCGTTCCTGCTATGCCAAGTATACACTGTGCTCGACACGTTCAAACCGTGATACGCCTGTAGCCAGCGCCACATCCATATTCCATAAGGCTTTCCAAGTGGTGGCTGACATAATCAACAGCGACATTCTGGAGTCGGACAAAGCAGGTGCTGTCCATGCTATAAGCATCGAGTTCTTGCGGGGGAAATTTATTGCCAGGCTGGAAGCGCTTGGCCGGCCAAGCCCAACGTACAAAACGGAATTGCTGAAAGCAAGAATCTTGAAACAATATGGCAACCAGGTCAAGTTTGTCAGGTCGTCCGTCACTGAGCCGGAAAAGGTGATTGCTGCACGCCTGAGTGAAGAAAGCTATATGAGCTTGATGTCGTCTGTGGTTGGTGACCAGCAAGCACGGTTGGATGATGGTGAAGATGACTACGACGTATTCACCCAGCCATCTCGACCAATGCCGAGTTCAGATGTGGATATGTTCCATGCTGCTATCATGGTCCACCATGCCGTCAGAGAGGTCGAGCCGGTCCTCACCTCTACACCTCACGCCAGTGAGATGACCAAGGAATTATTCAGCACTTATCCCTGCTCTTATTGGTCAGCATTAATTTCTCTATAAAGTTGCTCCCAGATTCAGTGTGGTGCATCTCAATCTCTGCTAAAATTAGCTGCATCCTGCCCAATTGTCTTTCAGTAATTCTCATCGTTTTGGGCGTTATTACATACACTGAGATCAGTACCTAAACCAAGAAAAAGTATTAAAAAAAGTTGTCTGACATGGGGTTTGAACCTAAAGACAGCAACAACACTGAGATCAGTACCCAAACCGGAGAAAAAGAGAGAAAAAAAGTCGTCTGAAGTGGGGTTTGAACCTACAGTTCATTGAATTTTTGAATTTTTAACTGTTTTCAGTGCATGAAGAAGGCGCAGCAATGGCCGTGAATTTCTATATTTGACAAGAAGGAAATCAGCTGTAGGCCTGCTTCTGCACAGGTTCGGCAGGGCCAATTGCTGGATTTCGGGGTTTTCACGCACAATGAATGTTCTGTGCAAATAACAGGTTGTCAGCAGAAAAAGGAAGCAGACTTGGTGATAGGAGCCACTTTCCAAATTTGGCTGCTGGACTATTGTGGTTATGATTCATGAATGCTGTCTGCTGATCATGCAGCTGTGGGTTCAAATCCCGACCTATCATCTACTCAACCTTTTTTTATCTTCGCAATTTTGGTGAGTCAAGTCAAAGAAGGTGGCTGCCCCAAATGACTTGTTGAATGGTGTTGTTGGAGTTTGCGCTTCCTGCCGACTGACTGACGCTTGACTGGCTTATATCATGTGAATATACACACCACTGAAACGGTGCGAGTGAGTAGAAGTCATTGCCTGGCATGCTACGTGTTGAATATACAGGCACATGGACCGATCGACTTCTTTCTGAATTATTTTAGTATTTCACGAGAGTCAATTTATTCGAATTTAGGAGTCGGCAACGTCTTCTATCAGCTTCCACAGGCATCTGCTTTTCTCAAAATGTCGCCGAAGTCGCACGGATTGATGGCTTTGCCAAGTCATGGCCGGGAGAATGAGTCCGTGTCCATGTCGTTTTCGTCACATGGTCAGAGTAAATTGAATCGCAGGGACGCAGCTCAAAGAAACCATTTGGTCACAAAACAAATCGGGACTCGTGCCACGCTTCGACATTTACCACAGTTTCGACTTGTCCTCTATGACTCCGATGCGAGCAAGAACTTTGTTTGTTGTAAACCAGACGTACATGTACCTGTGTGCGTGAGTTGTCACAGTTTTCCATGCTTTCGCGCCGAATATCTCTTCGAGTTCACAGCGAGTTTTTCCAGGCACCACATACGGTAAGACGGCAAACTCCGTGGGCGATCGCCAGGATTGTCAATGTTTTTGAAATGAACTGTAGGCTCATGGGCTTGTACGATGAAGCTTTGTAACGTTCGAACTAACTAACACAAAGCACAAAAACATCTGAGATGTCACGAACAAAATCAAGCCGAAAAAGTACAAATGTTGCGTTTGCACGCTTTAATAAGTCGCGCTTACAAAAGTACTAGCACGCTTTTCTCGCGTGCCAGGAGTAGGTAGTTTTTTTCCGATGCGTACGCATGTGGTCCGAGCCACCTTAAAGTTTATCTCTGACTGTGATGTTCGCCACACAGAACCCGCCCTCAAATAAAGTACAGTAAAACCTGTAATGGCGACCACTCGGATACGGCGACCACTCGACCATGGTGACCACGTTTCCTTGTCACGGACGCATTCATGTTCAAAACACCTCGGATAAGGCGACCACTCGCTTAACGCGACCGATGACCACCCACCCGCGACCGCGTTGCACACTGCTAGTCATGTAAATGTACGCATTGCATGGTGCACCAGGCATGGTAGATCTACACATCAGTGCAGGAACTGTGTATTATGTACATGGTGCATGCACGACATTTGACAGGTCTGAGGGCCCCAGGCACATGAGTCGTGCTAGAGTAGAGTAGCATAGGTGTTCGCACTGTGATCATGGTGATGCACTGATCAAAATGATGTATCACATGTAGATATGGTCACGTGACCCACTGGACCTGGATAAGAAGACCACCTGGCCACGGCGACCACTTTTTCTCGTCCCTCGAGGGGTCGCCTTAGACAGGTTTCACTGTAGCTGTGATGGCTAAAGTTCATCTCGAAACGTAGACCTCAGGTAAAATGCAGTGATCAAGCATGTACACAAATTGTAATGTAGATTCCTTTTTTGACCAAGGTTGCTGCTACGCATTAAAGGGGCGTTTATTGCAACATTTACGACAATCGGCGAAGAAATGCTCCAGATATCCATTCATACCTGCGTTATCCGGACCCTGAAGTTACAGGCACTTCGATCTACCGGTCACCCCTTCGTGGAGAGAGTGACGTCACATGTCTTTCCCCATCAAAATGTATGTGATTCAGAGTTTAATACGGACATTTCAAAGTTACGGGCAGTACCCGGTCCCGGACCGTCCGCATAAACAAGGTATGGATTGACTAAAACAACTCCAATGTGTGAGTACACGGGTAGGTGCTGTGCGACCAACACGCAGGACTTCACCTTCACAGCACGGCCACGAAAGGACGAGTTGGTGGGGCGCTCTGGCGGCACTTTTACGGTACTTCCCAGCGCCGATTGGGCTTATGGGGTTTACCGGGTGTTAGCGGCCGTCGGGAACGGACACGATAATTTACTTTATTTTTATTTTTATTGGGCTTATGTGAACCAACCCTAACTAACATGACACACTGTGACTCACCTGAAAAGGCCTGTGGAGTTCTTTTAGCGATAGAAAAATATAGACCTAGACGTGCAGATACAATAGAAAACCAAACGGAGAATATGCACCAGTCAGCAGTCGGAGGCAATGGAATGGGATGGGGGAAATTTCTGAATACAAATTCAGGACAATTGCCATTATAATCGAGAGGAGTAAGCAGCCACATTCGGCCATGTCCAGATTATAACCTGTACCAGATTGTTATCTATCGAGTCACACCTGGCTTTCACTACTTGTAATCACACGAACTAACACACGAACTACCACGCTTTTAAATAATTATTATCCCCAGTGTAGTCTATAACAGTATCTATTATGTTTAGACCTCATCTTCGCGCCTAAGATGCGCCATTATGTTTCCCCCTCTTGCTGTAAAAGGGCGAAGTTCACTTTCTGTTAGCCGTTCTACATTTTCTACCTTCACTGACGAGATCCTGATGATCGAAACAGCTGCTGCCTGAAGGAGCAGAGTACCAACCGGAGGGTCGTTTTGCTGATGGCGTGCTGTGGCAACGTGTTGAGGTCGGCCGGAGAGCGCAACCGTGTGGTGTGGTAGTTGATAATAATTGCCATTATAGACCATGTTACTCGCTACCTATGATTTACCAGGGAAGGAGAGGCAGACCAAGAACAACACAGCTAACCACTCTCTCACTGGGTTGTCGGGAGAAGCTGGGGCTTGTGCATCTGTCGCGACCTGGCCATGCCCAGCTTCGGAAGGTGGCACATGATAAATGCCGATGGAATTCATTGCGAAACAGCACTGTTAACTAGCCTGGCCATAATATTACGCCTATCCCTGACATGCTTGCCTGCCTACTCGTGTGCACGGCATGCATTCTCGCCGGAAATGTCTACCTGTGACGACAATAATCAACAAATTTCATAGACTGATCTTCTTTTTTAGTGGTTGCACTCTTGGCTGCTGCTGTGGCACTTTTGTATTTTCCGTGCTGCTGCGCTCTCCTCGGCTGCACTAGCCGTATCAGCTGTCGTACCCATATGCACACGCACAATCCCTCGCTACACTTTGGAACTGTTTTCGTTGCCTGGGCTCTCATCTATCTTTGCTTGCTTGCTTGCCTCCTCCTGATCCTCCGCCATCGGTTCTTGCGGCGGTGGAGCTTGCCAGTGGCAGACCGCGAGCAACACCGACAGTGGCATTAACACTACAAATGCCGACTCAAAAAGACCCACCTTGCATATCAGCAGCTTCCACACCAACACCAACAGCGCAATCTACAGCAACCACAACTAATTCACCATCCAAGCCCACTATTGAAAGACCAAGACGATCAACAGCCAACCACAACAGAAGCTACGCACTGAACGGATAAGGGCGAAAGGAGGGATGTGACAGCATGGTGACGGCCGAGTCAAGTTCAATGGAGCGGGTAAGGCGGGATGGACGAGACAGAGAGAGCGCAGAGGAAGTGGAGGATGAAACGAATGGCGAAGGAAGCAGTGAGTCGGAGAGCGATGATGGGAGTGATCGTGAATGTGCCGGTGAGAATGTTAGTGTTGTGCGTAGGTTTCGTTGTAGCAAGTCTTCAACTGTACAATCATCTGCTAGCTAGTCCTGATTGCTGTAATTCGTATTCCGAGTCTTCATTCACTGTATTGTGCCGTGGTCGTCATGGTTATGGACTACAGTTAAAAGTTTTGGAAGCTATCTATCAGCGTCTGTATAAGCCTAATTTGCGTGTACAGAAAGATAGTATAATTGGGTTGAAATTGTTCAAGTAACATGCCGTGTTTGGTGCGGCCAAGCTTGGCCTTTAATGTTCTAGGTGAAATGTTCTGCTGTTATGTGTTATCACTTTGTCCTTCCTTCTTTCTTTCTCTTGTTTGTTCATTTTCCATTTGCAAGTTGAATGTTAGCACACGCATTCGTTATTGCTCTCGCTTTGATTGTTAAAATTCACACTTATAAATTTCACTGCTGTTGTTCCTCGTGTTATTTCCCTAAGATTTTCTATAATAGTTCAATTTTGTTTCAGTGTTCTTTAGTACAACGACGATTCCTGATGAGTGTTGTACGAAAACTTGTTTGAATCATTAATTTTTTCTCTACACCATTTCTTCATATTTTCATCATTTTATTGCACATCGTCTCCACCGTTTTACATTGCATGAATAAAGTACACAAATGTCGATTCAGCTCGTCTTATTCATTGCGGTTATCAAATTATTGTCTCCTCGCTGTTTGTAAAAATAAAATTAAAATAAATTAAAAAAATGTGCACGTGACAATGAAAAAAAGCATATGACATGAAAGCATGCTACAGTACCGTGCACCCTGTTACCATGTACCAAACCACTGTACAGTCCTTATGCACATTACATCATCTAATGTATAGTCCTTATGCACATTACATCATCTACTGTATAGTCCTTATGCACATTACATCATCTACTGTATAGTCCTTATGCACATTACATCATCTACTGTATAGTCCTTATGCACATTACATCATCTACTGTATAGTCCTTATGCACATTACATCATCTACTGTATAGTCCTTATGCACATTACATCATCTCGCACAGTCCTTATGCACATTACATCATTTACTGTATAGTCCTTATGCACATTACATCATCTACTGTATAGTCCTTATGCACATTACATCATCTCGCACAAATGTACGCACATTACATCATCTCGCACAGATGTACGCATTCCCGTAGGTGTGTACATGCACGGTTGGGTGTTCATTGTGCGCTATACATGCGCATCGGATCAATTTAGCCCAATACTTAGTGGCAGACCGTCGCTTTTCCAGCTTCATCAGTTTGGATGGAACTAATGACTAGCTACATGTAGATCTTCATCCGAAAAAAGTTTTTGCTTTTAAAAATGCCTAAAGGGAACTTTTCGTAATCGAAAATACAGATGACACAATGGGGTCTTGTACATTTAACACCTAACCGGGTCTACAGGATTCTACGGGATTTCGTAAGCGACGTCAATGTGCATAAGCGTTATCGGCATTCGCCGGATTTTTTCGGCGTTTATTTATTAATAACTGCGCTATCAACACATGCCGTAAAGTCGTGTATAAAAGCCGCAGCTTACATGACTGTTTTGGGGGAAATTCTGCAGGCTTCTATATGAGACAAGCTTCTATACAAGACAGGTATTTCTATGTATGTCAACACTAAAACCAGGCATACCGTACTCTCTCGATTAGAAGCCGGGGGGGGGGGGGGGGTTCTATTTTTTCTGTACCAATTTCGAGGAGGCTTCTATTCAAGAGGGGCTTCTATTTGAGAGGGTTTTTTCATCAATTTTTTGTTTTATTCCATACCAGTATTCCAATCGAATCTCTAAAACTTTCATATCCACAGCAACTCGGCCCCGAGTTAGTTTGCACACACTACGTCGACCAGGGCATGTACTAATAGGAACATGCACGAGATGTTTTTTTGCACACTTGACCTTCATACATGGCACTACCTGGTCACCCCATGCTTTGTCAATACTAGTCCAGGCTTCTATTCGAGAGGGGCTTATATTTTTTCCAACAGTCCTTGTAGGAACTAAATCATCCTCTACTGATGAGCTCCGACAGGGAGCGAAACAGCTGTCTAGAGGCGTGGAACAATATTATCTCTCAACGGAAGTGTCCTTGCTGGTGTCTGTATGGTTCGGCCGAAGAGCGAGTGGTTGTGATGAGCTGGGAATGCAATAAAAGTCCTTGTAGGGGGGGGGGGGCTATTATTCAAGAGGCGCTTGTATTCAAGAGGGGCTTCTAATCAAGTGAGTACGATATGTGCCGATAGTGTATCTTGAAAATCAGGCTTCTATTCAAAACCGGTATTTCTATGACTGTATGTCAACACTAAAACCAGGCATATGTGCCGAGAGTGTATCTTGATAATCAGGCTTCTATTCAAAACAGGCTTCTATATGAGAAAGGCTTTAATGCAAGCCACTATAGTACATACCTTGCACACTGCATTGTAAAGCCACCAATACTAGCGTGATAAACCGTATCGTGAAGGCTCGGTGGTCCATTTTGAATAGCATCCTCCTGCAACAGGAAAAACAAAAACGAAACATGGCCCCTTAACCCTTTGTGTACCAGCCCCATCTCGAACCGTACCATTATGGTATGGTTCGCTGCACTCCAATCAAGCGCGCCGGTCCCCGCCGCCGTAGCTCCGATCGACCCGCGGTTTTTGCGCTGGACAGCTGAGATCCCAATGAAAAGTTTGATGTATGATATGGGTAGGTTGCCATTTGAAAGTATGGAGAACGAACGCGTTCAAAAGTACCGTAAAGTCCGTAAATAAGTACGTATTTACTTTCGAATTTAGTGACCGCACCCGTACTAACTTTCGGGCGGGTACTGACTTTCAGGCACGAACTAACTTTCGGACCTGACTTGTGTGTAGTGGAGAAGTCATTTTCATGTCGATGTACATGCTACGCGCTGCATGTGCGCACCGTACCGGTACTTATTTCGGGCAGTATGTTTATCGGGCTTGACTTGACTTCAACAGACAGAGCCAAAAGAATGAAGGGGGTATTTCTTTCGGGCAGGTACTTATTTACGGACTTTTACGGTATGCTCTTCAGCGCAAACAATTGTCGCTGTTTCGATCGTGTTCTCGTTCAGTTTCTCTGCTTGTAGCGAAGATGTAGCTTGGTCTAGGTCATGTCGACGTCTTCTAGATGTGGTGGACGATTGGAGAGATCGGCTGTGGCGATATCATCGCGAAATGCGACTCGAAATTGAAAATTTGTATCGCTGATCCCATCGCAGTATTCGCTCTCAAAACAGGAGCGAGAGGGAGGGCAGCGATGGCCTAAAATCGTCAAGGCAGGCATAATTCACCAGCCAGCGACTGCTTCTTGTCTTCTCCTTCACTTACCTTACGCTGGATGTGAGTAGATGAAAAATATATATAGATTTCGAATCTGACACAAGAATTCAAATTTTGCATTTTGAACCAATTGTTTCACCTCAAATATGTGACAATATGACCATATCCCTGGTATGTTGTTGCTCTTCATGCACTGAGACAACGCTTATGAGATGGTTTTGTCCCTATGTTCCCAGTACATGAGCACAAACTAATTCTCAGTCTATTTGTTTGTGATACCCTGGTTGGTCAGAAATATGCACAATTGTCGCGTATCTTTGGTATTCCACCTATGGCCTTCATATACTACTGCATGCTGTCCCAATATCCATGCTTACCCGATTTTTTCAGCTGGCGGTTCCAAAACCGGTTCCTTACAGAACTGTTTCACCCCTATTTCCTATGGAATCATCGCCAAGTCGCTAGCACTATCTCGTACTTTTGATCTTAGGCCTGCATTAGTTTGAGGGCATTGCAAAGTCAGAAGATAAAGTTCCCGATCACCACCAGGGCTGGACCAGGGACCCTCAACACCATGTCATGGATATCCGTGTGTGCATGCTGCTTACGGCGGAGGGCATGCTATTCTAGTCTCCCACTGTTAACACGAACAGAACGCGCCAGACTATGCGGCACAAGGTCGTGTTTGTGGAGACATCCGCACACTGTCCCAACTACAGTGCAGTACTGTGGGCCGCCGAAGAACTGAGGGCCGGGGGTCAGCCTCCTCGTAGCCTAGACCGTTCTGGTTGTCTTGTACTTCAGTCTATGCACAGTTTAGTCACCATGACTGTACAGTGTATACATTGGTATGCTGTGCTTGGTGAAATTCCAGCCTGTTCCTTCTCCGTTCTTCAGCGCCCGGCAGTACAGCAGGCGTTCTCACCCCACCCATCCCCGATTTGATGGCACGCACAAGAACGCTGGCGGCCATTGCCAGGACACATCTCTAAAATACTGTTTAGTGCCGCTGATGAGCCCGCCCGCGTATAAGCCCAGGCAAGTTCGAGCATCGCAGAGCTCCGTCGTACAAGCCCATGGGCCTAGGCCCTGGGTCGCACCATATACACGTGCATAGAACATGCAGTTTTTTTTTGGTACATTTCAGCACAATCATCAGTTGTTTTTGCTTGCACAGTGGTTTTCAGCATTGTACTTCTCATTTCCTTGGTACTTTTCAATAGCACAATGTTGGTGTCGGCGTATAAGCCCATGCCCGCGTATAAGCCCACCGAAATGTCCTTGTCAAACAGATTAGCCCATGGGTTTATCCGCGAGATTCTACGGTAATATGTTTCAGCTCATGGATGAAACAAACAGCACTTAAACCCTAACTCAGTTTTGATTGGGATTCGCATATCCTGCTTATAATAATATTTTTTATAATAATTTTCACAAGGTATATGTACATTTAGGCATGACTGCGTACAAAATGAAAAATCGGCCGGCGCTCTACTTCAACCCTATCTGCACCCAACTGCACGGTGCATTCACGGACAGCACCTACTGCTGCATGGGTTTAGCACTATTACTTTCTGTGCGTTTCGCGATTCGTGTGGAGTTTGTGCGCAGATTCGGTGCAAAGATGTCCCAGTGCTAGCTAAACTGCTACCTCTAGAGCGGGACAAGACACCTCTGCACGGTTTCGCGGCGCACATGTAATTGTACCAGTACCGTAAAGTACCGCCAGAGCGCCCCATCTCGCGAGAGCGCCCCACCTTGATTTTACAGCCAGAGAAAGGAAAATCGTATGGCAGAGTGCAACGAAGTTTGTATGACGTGAGAATCTTAGTGTACTAAGGTCACGCTTGGCAGGGTTTTGTGTGGAGCTTGTGTCCGCTCGAAGGTACGGATTGACTGCAAAATGTGCAATATGTGTTGCAAGGTTCATGTCGTATGACCTACAGACAGCAGACCACCTCGACAATACGACCACGAAAGGATGAGATGATGGGGCGCTCTGGCGGTACTTTACGGTATTAGGGAGGTTCTGCTCTACGTTTTGGGAACGCGACTCAAAGAATCACGCGAACTTTCTTCGCGTTCCCGTAACGTAAAGAAATGCTGTTCTGCTCTACGTTTCACGTAGAGAAGTTACGTGGAATGTGTACTGGGAATTTCCCCTTCCATATTTGGCAGTTTTCTGCATGCAGTTGATCGATACCCAGCAAATCCGTACGCATTTTCTCTGCATGTGCCACAACGTAGAGAACCTCATCTCCGCGTAGAAATCTGGAGCCAAAACACGCGAAGCCGTAGACTCTAACCCAGACACCTGCTCTCTACGTGATTTCTCTACGTTTCACGTATAGCAGAACCTCCCTAAAATGTACGTAAAACAACTGCTGTAAAACCGGGAACTTTCGGTGGGGTAATATTTTCGGTATTTCCCAAAATCAACGGTCCGGTGGCCCGAATTTTTTTCGGTAAACCAGTTTTCCAGATCCAAAATGCATTTTGCACACTGTGAGGCATGGCATGGCATGATCGAATTTTAGGTCGCGTTTTATGTTAGGTAAAAATTGCCTGTATCGAAGCTGTTCTCAAACTGAAAGAGTAAGCGGCAGCTTTCGGCCTGTTTATCAAGTGGAGGTGGAATTGCTTCATTGTACCCGCGAAGTTATGGAAAAAATCTTCACCGAGATTTTCCCGTTTTTACAGTACAGTTGAAGTTGAACAAACAGCACGTCTTGCCTACGCTACAGAACTACAGCGCAAGACTGCATGCATGCCCATGGCAAGAACAGTCAAGAGCTTGCTAGTATGGGTCAAAAGTTCTCACTCGACTCAAAACAACTTACTTGTGCATCGACTTACGGCGGACTTGTAGTGGTGAGTTTCGGCTTTCGAAATCTTTGACGGCGCGCCCGCACCGCGGTATCGTTTAGTTAGACTACTGTATTGCTACCGGGACATGTGGACCACACTGGGAATGACTAATGTAACGGGCATGCTGGCTTTGCCTCCACTGCTATTCATGACAGTAAAAGAAACCGAATACTTAGCTGGAAGGGCAACGCAGAAGCTTTGAAAAAATCTGCAGTTATTACTAGACAGGCACAGAAAGCGTATGGGATCTGGGCAGCGTCAGTGAAGCCTTGGACAAGAGCCATAGAAACAGATTTGCCTAGCACATGCAGTTTTGCTGCAAAAAGCAGAAAACGGGTAGAATACGGTCCATCTACGGGGTCAACTAAACTTATCACCTTGCGCACCCAGGCCAAGGTCCAGAAAGTGCAAAGTCACAACTATCAAAGACAAAGCTAGGTGGATCTACGTTTATGTACGATAGTTCTACTATGCTGCACGTGTCTGTCGAAACGATCTGACCCCAATCAAGAGTCCATGAACTCTTGCTACAATGCTAACATGTCAACATGTTGTAGAAAAATGTCTAAGGCCGAGTAAAAAAAATTACTAGATGATCGTCCTTTTTTTTGGAAAAATCGGGGAGGGCGGGAGGATTTTATTTTTATTTTTTTACTTTTTACCCTCTCATGCACACAGTGTACACAACAACATCAAGGTTTTTTTTCTCTTTTTTTCTTTTTTTTCTTTTTTTCTTTTTCTTTCTTCAGCAGATCGATACTGACGTTGTGATATACTAGTAGTATGTGGTCCATATAGTAAAGAAAGTATTGCACATGTTTCCTGCATCCGCGATCGGTAAAAAAACCAACGATTTCGGCAAAAACTCACGATTTAAAAAATAAAATATTTCTTGGGGCGCTGACAAAAACTGGGGCGGACGGGGACGATCATCTAGCTTTTTTTTTTACTTGGCCTAATAGTAGCCTGTAGCCCACGATAACTATGACCTGGCGATTGCCTGATATCAGAGATGAGCTGTGGTGAAACGAAAAGTGAAGTTAGTTGTGGGCTAATCCGTAGTAATCGGGCCAACAGTTACTGCTGTTTTGACTTGCAGCTAATAACTCAACATTGTGTAGTTCTACACTTGAAGATCTACTACAACATTTACTCACTGTTTCATGGGTACAGAAAGTTACAAATGAGTAGCGCTAGCGGTAAACAGGCGATTGTACCAAGAGTCCATAATCATAATTATAAGTATAGGATATTACCAAGAGTAGAAAAACAAAACTGTTTATCTACACCTGATATTACCCAAGTACGAGGGTGTTACCTCCCGAATATCATCCCGACTGCGTAGCAGGAGGGATGATATGAGGGTACGGTAACACCCGAGTACGCAGGTCAATATCCTACTTGGCCCAGGTACATCTACGCATTTTGGGGATCGACGCAACTGCGTTCTGAATACAATTACTGTACCAAGGTACAGCTATACCAAAAACAAGATGCTGCCTTTCTTTTCAATCCAGTCAAGGTTTGAGAGCGATGGAGCTCGGGAGACAAGTTGCATTTTAGTAGTTGGACTAGAGAATTGACGAAGATTGTTATGATACATAGTCATTTGGTTCAAAGTAAGGGCCATGCTTCAAGTCACGGCGAGATACAACGTCGTATGGATGCTGGTCACGGCTGTTCCTTTTTTTTTTACGGAGGGCGATATCGTACAAACTTTTAAAACAAATAGTCCATCAGCCTGACCACCGCATATGGCCGATTGGTTTGCAGGCCTGCCTGCGAATCATGAGGTCCCGAGTTCGAGACCCGCGCTGGCAGCAGGGCCCAGGGAGCGTGTAAAAAGCGTGTAAAAAGACTTTTACGCGTGTTGAACTGCGCCGAAACCCACGGTCAACCCGCGATATTCATGTTAAAACAAAATGGCGTCACGATTTATTGAAAGTGGTATACTGAGTAGTTGGTGGAACGAGTGTTCAAACCCATTTGAACTTCATACTGTTCGTCTTCTTTTTGACATGTTCCCTTTCCATCGTCCTTAGCTTTTATTTGTTGAGAGCTGTTTTGGCTTTCTCCTATACCTCTGGGGGATGTCAAGTGATGGTTTTGAGAGGCTGGTGATGGCTGTGAGCGAGAGTTTGCCGATCGGCGTCGTCCTCGCTATAGCGATGAAAATACTAGTTACTGCGCACCTGGCAGATATCACAACACGTCGGAGCGTCCAGGAGCAAAGGAATCTTGGGTTTTCACTGGAATCTAGTTCCTCCAGCATCGTGTAGCCCACCGTCGGTGAATGGCGGTCCAGAAAGGTCGAACCTGGTCTTCTGCAGCATCTCGCAGTCCTGCGAGGCACACTGAATACGCCTGCAAAAATCACGAAGTAGTGGACTTTACAGTGATGAGTCTATCCTGTATGCTGCAAAAGACGCAGGAAATGTGACTGGTGTCTGTACACTCAGTGACTGGACGCCAACACCCCAGTCTTCTCCTGCAGGATCTGTTTGACATTGACATTATGCAGTAGGTCGGCATTGACCTGGTTTGGCAGCTATCGTAATAGTATCTGCCTGGTTGGATGTAGCAGGTTGGTGTTTGCTCGTCGTCCAGTCCGGAATTTTCTTGTAACTCACGGTGGAGTACGCGCAGGGTTTGTGATCATCCCTGTTCACTTCAATATTATCAAACACAACGTTCCCTTTGTCACTCATCTTATCCTGAGTACTGAATTTGCTGACAATATTGCACCATACTTGTCACAACCTACCGCCACTGCTGGCGGTGGCGACTGGTTCGTCAATGGCGGTGACCAGGCTGACTGACTAGCTTCGAGACAGCGGCCTCGTTGTCAATCCCGCGGCAGCCTAAAGGTTGATTTTATTCATCCAGCCTCAGCGCCATGTTGACGATGCCCTAGTGACTGTGTGTCATGGATTGCCTTGCCATCAGCGGTCATTGCCGTCCACCTTGATGCAGCCCTCAACAACTGGCTCAGCCCATGGGAGTCTCAAGTGGACAAAATTGTTGCCAAAGTAGCTCAGAAGATTGGTGCATCGTGGTGTAGGTGAGCACATAACTAGGACTTCCCAGCGTCTATTTGTCCAGGCTGCGATACTATGTGACATGCTGTACTGCACATTCTTTTCAGCACTGCAAGGCCGGCAGCTGGACCGACTGCAGGGGCCGCGCACATGCAGGCCGCCTGTTGCCAGTGCAGCATTCTGGAACGTTCCTTCCTTCTGAGATCCGTGGAATAATAACTTTCTTTGCTTCAAAGCAAGTTGCTTACCTTTCTGTTGTGCTCCCAGTGTCCTTACAACAATAACCTACAGCAATGTTTTATTTTCCTTTCCATTCCCCAACCAATGAATACTACGATGTCGATTCTATTTCTTCATACTTTGGTGTGTGCCCGCGCACGCACGTGTGTGTGTATACCTCACTCGCCACTCGAAGTTCTGTTCCCCATCACTGGAACACTGCCTGTTCTTTCAGGACCTGCCATCATCTGCGGATGGGCATTCAATAATTGTATTGTGTGTGTGTTTCATTCAGAATCAGATCCGCTATCATTGCTATTAGAGAAAATCTGTGGGTTCACATCCAGTGCATTTTTAGATCTGCGTGCTTTTCTCGCCACGGGCGCATATATGGGACATTGTGTGTGTGTGCGTCTGTGTGTATGGGGATATTGTCTGTATCGGCTTTTGGTACTAATGTTCAGGTCTGTGCTTGCATGTGTGAACATGAAATTGTTCGGTTCTGTGCATGCTATTGCTATGTTGTATATTATTGTATGTATGTGTGCATTTCCACGAACAGTGTAGACGAGCGTGGAGAGTGCATTCATCCCTCATCAACCACTTCCCCTTGGGCTTACGAGAGTTTTTTCTGCGTACCTCTCTGATACTGTATTGATGCCGGCACCTGTACCTCGATGTGTTCCTCTATCTGCAGTCGCCTTTAACCTTCGGTCAAGTTAACGTTTATTGTGCTCTATTTATCGTGCGAATCAAAATAAACAATAATAACACAAGTCGTGCTAGAGTGACGACATGTGCGTGTAGTAGGGTTGATGCGATGGGACGTTATAATTAGGTGGAACAGAACACACATTGGGCAGATTGATTGGGCATCATTGATTGTGCTCAGTCTAAACAGTGAACATAATAATTATCTCCAGTGACAGACTGTAGCGGCTAGCCTCCAATAGGTAGCTGGCACTAGTCGCTACTGCTTGTTTGACAGGTGCCGCCAGAACCCCTGTCCCCTGGTGTGTCATGCTATAGATGCACATGCCCTGTTCTGGGGCATACTGAGGTACTTTGATTTTGTTGACTGCATGTAGACAGCATCCAATAGTAGTACTCGTAGACCTTGGCTCTTTGTAGGCCAACCACCATCGCATGGATCGATCGGTGACTATGCACTTGGAGGTTGGAATAGCCCGCGCTGAACAGATCTTGCCATGGCCCAGGGAGTGAACTCGCTTACTCGACTATCCCGGTTTTAGTTAACCAGCATGAGTGGTGCAATTTGTCCATACCATGTTGCGAGCTCACAGTTTGGGCAGGTTTTGAGCTGCACCACGAAACAAAGTGAAATAACGGCGTGACTGTAGAGCAAGGAAGCGGCGAGACGGCACTTCCAGGGCGAGACAGGCAGTAGAGATGTGTTCACAGCACGAGCAACCTCTCAGACCCTGCCGGTACTCCACAGTTACAAGAAAATGTCGGACTGGACGACGCGCCAATGCAAACCTGCTACATCCACCCAGGCAGATAGCTGCCAAACCAGGCCAATGTCGACCCACTGCATACCGGTATGTCAATGTCAAACAGATCCTGCAGGAGAAGACTGGGATGATATTGGCGTCCAGTGTACGGACACCAGTCACATTTCCTGCGTCTTTTGCAGCATACAGGATAGACTCATCACTGTAAAGTCCACTACTTCGTGATTTTTATTTGTAGAATACATGACAGGCGTATTCAGTGTGCCTCGCAGGACTGCGAGATGCTGCAGAAGACCAGTTTCGACCTTTCTGGACCGCCATTCACCGACGGTGGGCTACACGATGCTGGAGGAACTAGATTCCAGTGAAAACCCAAGATTCCTTTGCTCCTGGACGCTCCGACGTGTTGTGATATCTGCCAGGTGCGCAGTAACTAGTATTTTCATCGCTATAGCGAGGACGACGCCGATCGGCAAACTCTCGCTCACAGCCATCACCAGTCTCTCAAAACCATCACTTGGCATCCCCCTGAGGT